TGCAGCGCCAGGGGGCAGCCGATCAGTCTCAACCCAAACCAGCAAGGTGTATGTACACCTGAAGAGAAGAGTATGCTGTAGGGCTCTGGTGCTGTCTGTGCAGCAGCAGAGGACCCTGGAAGTGCCCCCTGCTGCTGCTGCAGCTGCAGCAGCAGCAGCTGCTGCTGCAGCAAAGGGGTCGAGCTCGTCGAAGGCTGCAGCAGCAGCACCAATTGGGGGCCGGGCAGCAGCAGGGAAGTCTGGTTGCAGCAGCGGAGTGCGTGAGAAGCGCGCGGCGATGAAGCGGCAGCAGCGGCGTCTGCTGCTGCTGCTGCTGTTGCTGCTGCTGCTGCAGGCGGGCAGTAGGGACCCAGCAGCAGCGAGAGAGAGAGGTCTAGGAAAAACCCAAACCGATGAAGCAGCAGCTGTAATCAAGTGTTATGAGACGGCCTGCTGCAGCTGGCGGCAGCAGCGGACCCTAAAGAAAGAGGGGTAGGGGAGGCTGCTGCAGCAGCAGCTGCTGCAGCAGCAGCTGCTGCTGCTGCTACTGCGCAGCAGGGAGAGAACGTAGCAACGGCCTGCAGCCGCCAGTGTGAGGGCCCCCTGCGGTGTACATACACTAGCCAGAGACAGACATTCGTCTTATAATACCTCTGCTGCTGCTGAATAAACACAAAGACACCGTAGAGGCAGCAACAACCCAAACCCTGCCGGCCCCGCTCGCCTCCTGTGGCTGCCGTGCTGCTGCAGCTGCTGCAGCTGCTGCTGCTGCTGTGCTGCTGCTGCTGCTGTGTTTGCTGCTGTCCGCTCTCGTTCGTATTTATTCTCCTTTTTTTCAATTATTATTTTGCATTTAACTCCATTTCATACAAAGACAAACACAAGCACAGACGCGAGCCCCCCGCCTCAGCCGACGCGACTGCTGCACCGCAGCAGCAGCAGCAACACGCCAGCAGCAGCAGCAGCAGCAGCAGCAGCAGCAGCAGGGCTCGCCCTGCGCCCCCGTTGCAGCTTGTTCTCTTTCGTGCCGCTCTGTTTCACTCCACCTGCGGCCATGGGGTTGTGTAGCAGCGGTCTTAGCAGCACTTCCTGCCCTCCAGCTGCGAGGGTTTAGGGTTTAGGGTTTAGGGTTTAGGGTTTAGGGTTTAGGGTTTAGCGTTAAGGGTTTAGCTGCTGCTGTCGCTCTGCTGTGCCTTCCTCCTCTGCTGCGAAGCAGCGCAGCACACAGGGCGCGTCTATGGCTGCTGCTAGGGTTTAGGGTTTTAGGGTTTAGGGTTTAGGGTTTATGGTTGCTGCTGCAGTCTCAGTATACATCTCCGTCTATGGCCTAGGGTTTAGGGTTTCAGGGTTTAGGGTTTACGCACGCTACTGGTTTCATGTTTGTCTCTTAGGGTTTACGCTCGAGGGTTTAGGGTTTAGGGTTTAGGGTTTAGGGTTTTTGTCTTGTGTTTTTTTTTGTTTCAATCGATAAACAAAAAAGTAGAAATAGCAGCACTGCGGTCTCTGGTGTCTCTGTACCTCATCCTTTCTTTGTTTTTTTATTTTTATTTGTTTTTTTATTTTTTTATTTTTATTTATTTTATTCTTTTTATTTATTTTCTACCGCTAGTTGCTCGCGGTGCATTCGTTTACGCCTGCGTCTCTGCACACGCCGCCGTACGGCTGCATAAATACATATATATAAATATATATATAAATATATATATATATATATATATATATATATATATATATATAT